AAAAACCAAAAAAAAAAAAAAAAAAATCAGGTGGTTTTTCACAATAAAGATCTCTAAGCTTCATTTATCTGCAAACTTATCCTTGAAATACTGTAGCTGTCAGTAAGACATACATTTTCTTTCTCATTTCAGTATTGGGGAGGAATTTAGTCAAGCCCAAATTCTCTTACTGGGTTATATTTCTGGATATGACAACAATATAGAATTTAGGATAATAAGCTAAAAAATTTGAGAGATATAAGGGAACGCTCAGCATATGTAAAGACTCAAGTACAATATACCTAGCACCCAAAAAAAGAACTTTCATTATTTAAATGGTAATTATATCAATTGCAAATTATTTGTGATTATCATAATCACTAACTGTATTCATCAAGTTAGTTTACATTTTGCTAGAACAAAAACTGATCTCTGGCGGTAGTTAAGGCTGTCTGGGACTTGCCCTTGTGATTACCAGACTAATTTGTCATTAATTCTAAGGATTTTAAATCAGGAGATTAGCTTGACATTATAATGGATATTTAGTAAATATCTTTTGAATTGTAGTAATCTAATCAGTCTGAAAAATCAATTACAGGGCTGGGGATTTAGCTCAGTGGTGCAGCCTGCTTTGCAAGTGGAAGAACCGTACTTCCATCCCTGCTACCAAAAAAATAAAATTTCTCTACTAGCAGTGAATACAATCAAATTTCATTACCCTATTACATATTGTTTTTATGTTTTCTGTCTAAATTTAGGACTGTTAACAGATGAGGCATTAAGAATTGGCATGTGTATTCTCTTTTCTTTTAAATTGACTCAGCAAACATTTGCCTAGTGCCTTGTTTCGTGATAGTGTGCTAAGTGGTAAGATAAATCAGCTGTGGCATTACAGATTTGCAGATCTTTACTAAACCATCTTTTAATATTAACGAATAAATGTTTTTTACTCTGATGAAACATTTTCAGGTACTGCTCAATTGTTTGTATAATTCAAATATCTAGAAACTCAGCATTTAAGATGACCTACATTAGTTTTGTCTTTAAAAGCTGAGTTAAAACAAAAGGGAAAGGAGATAAATAAGACCCTTTTCCTATTGGAAATCTCGCACTGTATTTCTTTAGCACTCTGAAAGAAAGTTGATGAACCAAGAGTTGGTGCAACATTCCTGCATAAATGCATTGAGTACCCTGCAGAACCTGCTGTGAAAAACCATTAAGAATGCAGGAGTCCAGTTAATTTGCCTGCACAGCAGGCCTTCTAGGTAAAGCTTTTCCCTGGCTGGGTGATCTCTGCTGGTTTAGAAGAGCTTACTTCAGTATTTTATCTAAAACTTAAGCGCTCTCGAGCTTTGTCCTGGTGAGACCTAGTCCAGAACCCTAGTATCTTTCTTTGTAGTTTCAGAGAAACTTGTGTTTCATGATTCAATATAAAAAGTTGAATGATTGTTACACATATTTTAAATCCTAAGGGAAGTTTTACAGGTGAGTGAAAACAGGCCTCCCCGAATCTTGTTTTTCTTTAAGGCTTTCACTTTGTGCTCAGCACCCCAGACTGACTGGGGGCGGGAGGCTGTGTGCCCCACTCAGCCTGTTGTCCTGAGTCGAATGCTCCCTCGTAGTTCTTACTCTGAGGCTGAAAATCAAGGAAAGGAAATTAATTACAGTTGATGTTAAGTTGGTTCTCTTTTGAATCTACTTTTTAAAACATTTCTGTGTTTTTAGAAGAGATATTTGATACAATAGTTAATAATCTATATAGTGATTTATTCCTATGACACATTCTGACACAACCCTTGAAATAGTTGTAGATTTTTATGGAACACTTTAATTACTGATTTTCAGTCTTATACTCACCTTCAATGCAGGATATGCTGGCAGCAATCTCAGAAGTTGTATATGTTGATCTGCTCGAAGGAGACACAGAATGTCATGCTAGATTTAAAACTCCAGAGGCGGCCCAGGCAGTAATGAATGGGCACACGGAGATTAAAAAGAAGCACGGCTGGAAACTTGAGGTCCTTTCTGGTAAAACTCCACAGAAATTTCTTTTTCCTTTCTAACAATGATTACTGTGGGTAATTGTTTTCTATTTTCTGAGTATGACTGATGGATCCTCAGGGAGTTTTTGTTCCTGTAACTACATTACTGAGGTTTGAATCTTTTGCATATGCACCCTTATTTTGTTCACTGGTCAGCCACTTTGTTTGTTTGCAGGTGATCACGAACAGAGGTACTGGCAGAAGATTCTGGTAGACAGACAGGCCAAGCTCAATCAGCCTCGGGAAAAGAAGAGAGGCACGGAGAAGGTAGTAATTCAGCTGTCGATTTTATGCCCTGAATGTTTTAGGCGGTGAAATGTTGTCTATAATCAGTAATAGATGATCATAAAATAAAATTGGTTTTGCTATTAGAGTAGTATGCCAGTAGCGCGCCATTCACCTTGGTTCAAAAATACATAAAATTAGTGGTTCCGCTACCTTCTTCGTAAGTGCAAGGTCCTGAGTTCAATCCCCGGTACCCCCCGAAAAAAATAAAATTGGATTTTTTTTTTTTCACAAAGATGCATTGTCTTAATTTATAATTTTCCCGTTTTTCCTTCTTTCTTTTCAACCAGTGATATATCTTAGATTTTCATTCCTGATTTTGGGCTGCTGTGTTTCGTAGTTTGGTCATAAAAGATTGTAAAAGATGTTAATGATAAAAACCACAGTGTATTTAGAGTGGTTTATAAAGATAGGAGTTTCCACAAATACAATGTTGACAATTTCATGCATAGTGTTCCCTGTAGCAGTCATACACTTTGTCCCTTTTTCTCTAGAATAGTCAGCAAGTAATTTAAGCTGTCTTCTATAATTTAAAACATGCTTCTCTTTCAGTATTTTTATTATTGTGGCACTAAAGTTGTTGCTCGTTTACCTTTTTTAAATCATTATTCTTATAAAGTTTAGTACAGTTTAAAGTTATTGGGGCTGGGGATTTAGCTCAGTGGTTCTGCCGCCTGCCTTGCAAGCACAAGAACCCGAGTTTGATCCCCAGTACCAAAAAAATAAAACTCTTACAGGAAAAGAGAGTACATAGGAATCAGTAATTAACATCATCAGAGTTTAGAACTGTACTGTAAAAGTCTGAGGAAAAGCCAAAATGATGAACTTCCGTTCCTGTGTCAGAGTCACGTTTCACATACTCTACTCGTGGATTTAGGTTCTTTTTTTTTTTTTTTTTTAACTTAAAAAATCAGTCCCTGTGTTTTGCAGAAATGTGTGAAGATTTAGGGGAAGTTTCCTACTGGTCTTTGTTAGCTTTGCTTCCTTGCATAAAGACTGAGGCTGCAGAGATGGGAGCCTCCTTCCTGCCTAAAAGCTCTGTCAGGCTGTAGGTGTTAATTTCAAACCCTGCTTGAGATTATTGAAATGTTAAACTCATTAATCCAGAATGATAATGAAAGCTGTTTGTTAAAAAGAAAAATCTTATCCTTTGGTATGAAATTTCATTTAAATTGTACCTGCTATATTTTTAACTGGGAATTAATAATCATTAATCTCAGGTTTAGAAATTTAGAGAGACATAATAATTAATCTCAGCTTTAGAAATTGAGAGAGTCAAAATTTAATTTGAGTTAAGGAAATAACATTACCTGGGGAACGTTATAAACTGAGTAGCTCTGGTACTTGTGGGCCATTTCTTCCCACCTTACCTGCTTCTCTGGCTTCCTAAGCAGAATCAGCTCAAGCTAAGGGAGTAACTAGTTGGCTCCTGTCGCGTGAACTGAAAAGAATGCGTCCCGCAGAGGAGGTGCTGCGTGGAGCTGGTTAGAAGAGCGGCCATGATGAACCTCTTTGCTAGTTAATTTAGCTAATTTTTCTGAAAATTTTTATTCTTCCCCTACCACCACCACTGTGCTGAGGATTAAACGCAGAGCCTGAAATGCTTGGCAAGCACTCTGTCCTTGAGCCACTTCCCTGGCCTGATGGTTTTTGTTTGGTTTGTTTGGTTTTTTCTATGCTGGGGTGGAACCTGAGGCCTTCTCACTGAACTACATTCCCAGACCTTTTTTTTGAGATAGGGTCTTGCTAAATTCCCCATATTGGCTTCTAAAGTGTGATCCTCCTTGCTAAGCCTCCCAGAGAGCTGGGAGTAGAGGTGTGAGCCACCTTACCCAGCCACTGATAGTTGTTTTTTTTTTGGTGGGGGGTACTGGGGTTTGAACTCGGTCCTTGTGCTTGCAAGGCAGGCCACCAAACGGCTGAGCTAAATCCCTGGCCCGAAATTTTACGTTTTTGGGGGGTACCGGGGATGGAACTTGGGTCCTTGCACTTACAAGGCAGGCAGTGGAACCACCGAGCTAAATCCCCAGCGATAGTTTTTAAATGAGCCTTTGTGTCGGCCACTGAACTTGGAACTGGAGTGTGCGAATGACAGCTCCCTTGCTTTATGAAGTTTACAGATAAGAAAAATGAAAGAGATACGTTCCAGCAGACAGGCTGCCGGGTGCATTTCCTGCAGAAGTGGTCTCACAGCAGAGAGGAGCATGGGAGCCAGGAGGGCTTGCCCGGCAGTGCTCATAAAAAAACAGCTGGGCCTGGGAATGTGGTCAGTGCCTTGCAAGCACAAGGGGCCCCAGTTTGATCCCCTGTGCCACACACACACAAAAACAAAACCTGACTTTCAGGGTTCTGCCAAAGTGGCACAAATACCACCCCGACAGGACAGTTCAGGGTCATCACTGCATTGGCAGGCCTATCGTTTTTGTTGTCGCTGTTGTTTTTAATTTTCTTAGTACATAATGATGACATTCGTTGTGGTTCATCCTTGAGTTAAAGAATTAGTGAGAAAAAATCCTGGTCCCTAATTTTCACACTGTGGGTTATGACCCAGAGTAACCACCAACAATTTCCTAATCTCTATGCACTTTATACTGTATTAAAAAGGGAAAGAGCAATGTGTAGGTAAAGAAAATGTTTATTATCCATGTAAAGATCAAGCACAAGTAAATTAATGACAAGACCAAGAAGAGGAAGGAGAGATCTGCCCAGGGACTTGTTTCTTCTCCCAGCCCAGGACCTCCCCTGTGCTTCCTCCTGGTCTGATGTTAGGAAGGGGCGGGGCCTCTCTCCCCCTACTGGATGCAGAGTGAGGCTTTTCTCTTCAGTTTTTAAAATATTTGTGTATCTGTTTTTGCCAAAACTATTTAAGTGAATACTCATTACAATCTGTTTTTTCTTTTTTCTTGGTACCTGAGATCGAATTTAGGACCTTACGCTTGCCAGGCAGGCAAGGCACCACTGAGCTACAACCCCCTGACTCTGTTTCTACAGAAAAAAAAAAAGATTTGCATTTATTCTAAATAATATGTTTTAATTTTTCTATCAAGGAGACTTTTGAAATACTTCAAACATTTTCATTGGTTTTCTTCAGTTCATGTAATTTCACTTGCCTTCTTTAAAAACAACCAAGAATTTATGTAAGGGTGTAATAAATAGCAGCTGTTCTTTTTTTGTTTTGTTTTGTTTTGTTTTGGTTTTGGTTTTGGTTTTGGTTTTTTGAGACAGGGTCTCACTATGTAGTTGAGCCTGACCTGGAACTATGTAGCCCAGGCTGGTCTTGAACTCACAGGGATTCTCCTGCCTTAGCCTCCCGAGTGCTGGGATTACAGGTGTGCATCACCACACCTGGTGACACAGCTGTTCTTAATAGGTCCTTGTGGTCAGATGGGGAAGCAGTTTTTAGTTTCTCTGAGACTTTAGTTCACACTGATACTGGCCATGTTGATGGGGCCAGTGACACAAATCACTCCCTCCGTGGATGGGGCCTTTGGTCTTCTCTCCTAGGGTCTGCTTGCTTTTGCTTTGCCTTTTACATTGTGGAGGCCTTAGCTTCCAGGGCCTGCCCTGCAGGTCCATCTGGGCAGCTCTGTGATAGTCTTGGGAGCTGAAGCTCCCTGCTGTGCTGTAGTAGTATGCTAGAGGCTCCATGAAATTCGCCCAGAAATAGGCGCTCGCCAACCCACACCCCGGCCGAGGATAGCTCTACGTGGAAGTTACTTCTTTTTTGTTTGTTTGTTTGTTTTTGGTACCGGGGATCAAACTCAGGACCTTGTGCTTGTGAGGCAGGTGGTGGAACCACTGAGCTAAATCCGTAGCCCAGAAGTTACTTCTTGAGGGTTCATATCCAGGTCTGGTGGGGGCAGGTCCTTGATCTTCTAGGGAAGGTCAACAAGCTACAGTGTAGAGTGACTTTAGCTGAAAGATCTTAAATAACATTTGATTTAACTGAGGGAAGACGGGCTGGTTCGGAATTGATTTGGCATAGGCAGTATCTCATCTGTCTCTCAAAACATTTCATTCAAACTGGTAGTTGTGAAGTTTTTGTAGTCGTAACTTTTGTGGGTATTGAATACATTCTGATTTCTTTTTCTCTAGTTAATCACCAAAGCGGAAAAGATTAGACTGGAAAAGACTCAACAAGCAAGTAAACACATTCGATTTTCTGAGTATGACTGAAGAGTAATGCTCCCCTGTTCCACTGGGTCCTGAGTATGTCTCTGGCCGTCGCTCTATTATAGTAGCAACATAATGAATGTGCATTGAATGAATGAATATTTAAAACCTACATTTCATGAAAGGAAACACCTTGGCTGCTCACTTGTAAATAATACTTTTTTTCTAGAAATCAGACCATTGTATACTACAGTTTTCCATTAAACATTTTATTGGTTGAAATTATTTGTAAACCTCAAGTGATTTTGTAAGTCATTTTATTTGTTTGTACAGGGTCTTGCTCTATAGTTTAGGCTGGGCTTGAACTCAATCTGTAGTCCAGGCTGACCTCCAAGTCAGCAGTCCTCCTGCCTCAGCCTCCCAAGCGCTGAGAGTTACAGGTGTATGCCACCATGCCTGGCAGACGGGGTGCGGGGAGTTGGAGCCCTGTGGTCAGTACGCCCACAAGAGTGGCATCTGCCTGCTGTGCAGAAGGGAGGCTGGTGGGATGCTCAGATAGTTCCAGAGCATTAGGAATCCCTCTGACGGGTAAGGTCTCGGGAGACACTGGAGGTATGAACAAGTAAAATCAAAGTCTCCCCTTAGCTCCACTCTTTCATTACTGGGCACTGAACTCAGGCCTTTGCAATCAGCTGCATCCCCAGCCTTTGTTTTTGGGAGGGTTTTGAGACGGCCTACCTATGTAGTTCAAGCTGTCCTGGAACTCACAGTGATCCTCCTGCCTCATTCTCATGAGAGCTGAGATTACAGATGTGCGCCACCATACCAGTTCATTGTGTATTTGGTGACAGGGTTTCTAAATTTGGGGGGCTGGGCTCTCATTTTCGATTCTCGTACCTCAGCCTCTAGGGTGCTGGAATTACAGGTGTGCACCACCATGCCCAGCCTCAGCTGTCCTTGGGGAACAGTTTCCTGGGTAACAGTGTGTCGTGGTTGTGTCTAGAAGTCCTCCAGAGCCTCATGTGGGTGGAGGTGAGGCCTTTTCAGAGGTGGCCAGATCTAGTGTGGTGCTGACTGGCTTGGCTCTGAGCCTGGTAGCCTGTGTGGAATATGAAAGGGCCAGAAGGAAGCTGCGAAGGTTGCTTGGATTTGCTTCCTCAGTACTTTGTTGCTTTGCTACCTTCTGTCTGCCACGAGCTGTTTCTCGTCTTTGTGCCCCTCTGCTGTGTGCCACTCTGCCTTGGAATCAACCAGTTATCCACTAAAACTTCTACAGACTGAGCCAACGCAAACCTTTCCGCCTTCCACTTGGGGTGTCAGGTATATATCTGTCCATGATTGATTATATGTTATTTAAATATGAAAAAACACAGCACCAAAACTGAACGAAAGTGACCTAACCCTTATAGATCATGTAGTGTTTCAGAGAGGAGGGGAAATGAGAATTAAGATGTGTTACATAATACATGTACCAACTCCCCGTGGTGTATGTAATCACACTTGGAACGTACTAAATTTTTAAAAGTCTTAAGTACAGAAAACAGTTGCATTAACAATATCTTTTAGATTTCTCAGTAAAGATGCACTGAAAACTGTATGGGGAGGTTTAAGGAAAGATCGGTGGACTTTCCACCCTGGAGATGGAGGAGGAACCTCCTGCAGGCCCCTGCCGCTCCCGGGACCCAGAACAAATGGTGGCCTCATATGTTTGAGTGTTCTTTTGGGTCACTGATGGTTTCTAAAAGAAAAACCATAGACCGGGCTTGGAGCTGCACAACTGTAATCCCGGTACTGTGGAATGCACGGGCAGAAGAAAAGCAAATTTGAGCCCAGCCTGGGCAAGTTAGACCCCGTCTCAAAAAGGAAAACAGGAGGGGCCTGAGCATGTAGCTTGTTGTGAAGTCCCTGGGTTCAGTCCCAGGATCTGGAAGAGTCTGCAGGGGTGGGGGTCTCATAAAGGGACAGGATGTCACAGTCAGGGTGTGTCCTCACAGCCCACAGGCACCCACAGAGGAGGTGCTGCCCTCGTGGCTGGGTATAGCACAGTGGAGCCTGTGCTTAGTGGGCACCAGGCCTCGGCTCAATCCCAGCACCCGAAAGGAAAAGAAGAAATACATCTGTCTCCTTGCGGGCATGGTGCCACACGCCTGTCATCCATCTCTCTGGGAAGCTGAAGCAGGAGGGTCACCGCGAGTCCAAGGCCAGCCTGGGTTACATAGCCAGACTCTGTCTCAAACAAACAAAAGAAAAGAAAATATATCTCCCTTCCTAAAACAAACATACACACGCTTTTACACAGATTCCACACGTTTTAGTGTGGTACACAGGAAGTCATTGTAGTGTGATACACAGGACGTTGTCGGAAGAGCTAAAGATGGAGACTGTGCTTTGGCATTCTGTCTTGTTTGTGTGCTTTCGTAAACATGCATTATTTTTATCCAGTGAACTTTTAAAAGCTAAATAGGAGGATAGGAAATGCTTCCCCATGGTCATCATGTTCAAAAAGGGAACTCTTGTTGACGCCACCCCGTGAGACACCGATTTTGAATTCATAGGATTAGAAATTGCTTGAAAACTGCAGAAGAAGCGGCAACCCATGAAGATTCCGATTCCCGGTTTCCGCTGCATCAGGACATTTTGACAGTCACCAATTGGACTGATAATTAGCATGCATATCTATTACTCAGGAAATCCAAACAGTTTTTTTTAAAGGAATGGAAAAAACAAACACAAAGGAGTTTTTGAGAGCTTTAGTTGCAATTACTAGGGAAACCGAGTCTGTCTGCCCTGTCTCTTGATTTTCAAAAAGCCAAAAAGGTTTGAAAAATAGACTGAGGGGATGAAGAAAATGAAATTACCTCCAGTCCGGATAAAAGTATAAAAATAAAATAACCTTAGGGAGAAATTATCTCCCTCATTTCAGTTACATAAATAACACAAGAAAGTGCAAAGAAAGTCACCAAATTTTGCACATGTATTATGCCATTTCATAACTTCCTATTTACTGAACAGTAAATATTCTGGAAAGGTTTTTTGTCCAGAAAGTGCTGTCTTCTCTGAGTTCCCCCACTACCACCGAGAAAACACAAAAATGGGCCAGGGATATAGCTCAGTGGTTCCAGCCACCTGCTTTACAAGTAAGTGAAGGGACCCAAGTTTTATGCCCGGTAACAAAACAAAACAAAAACCAAGAAAACACAAAAAGAAGAGATTGTTTTTCCCCCCGTCAGGTTGGTTTTGTTTTACGTGCAAGTTTTGGAGACCGGGGATGGGTCCCAGGGGTGCCCTACCAGAGAGCCCTTTTTCACGTTTTGTTTTGTGACAGGGTCTCACCAAGTTTCCTGGGTTAGCTTCAAATGTGCTGCCCTCGTGCCTCAGCCTGGTTAGTAGCTGAGATTACAGGCGTATGCTACCACGGGCGACCCGAATCAGGCTTTGTTTTTTATGGGTTTTTGGGCACCACGGGTCGAACTCAGGACTTTGTGCTTGTGAGGCAGGTGGCAGAACCACTGAGCTAAATCCCCAGCCCAGGCTTTGTTTTTATATGTATTTATTTTTTCTTCTGAGTCAGGGTCTGTGTGCCTCGGCCTCCCAGGTGCTGGGATTACAGGCGTTTGCCACCACAGCAGCTCTTCTTACTGTGGTTTCTAAGGCACCGTATCCTTTTCCTGAGCTTGAATGTGCCCCAGACTCTGAGCACCAGTAGACCTGTTACTCTGTCATGCCAGGGACACATGGCTCATACCTGCTGCTACTTCCTAGTGTGCTCTCCGTGTCGATGCTGTTTAAAAGCACGGGCCCATATCTGTTACCCCAGTGCTCATGAGGCTGAGGCAGGCAGGAGAACCATGAGTTCAAAGCCAGCCTGGGCCACAGAATGAGACTCTTGTCTCAATTAAGTTTTTTTCCTCCAAGTGAAAAGTGGCTGGGGATGTAGCTGGTGAGAAGGGTCTGGGTTCAATCCCCAGGACCTAAAACACAGGAACCTGATTGTTTTAGGTGTGAATTTAGAGCCTATGATCCAGTTCTCTGTGGTCAGAGACGTGACATCAGCAGCTGCTGGGTCTCGTTAGCCTTATCTTCGTGGCCAAGGGCACAGGTCCTGTCTTCTCTACCGACACCCGGGCAAGGGCGCTTGGCCTTTGGTGTTGCGTGTGTGGAAGTGTGTGAGTGTGCATCTGTGCATGTGCTTGTGGCTTGGCTTTAGGTGTCTCCCCAAAGCTTCCTGCAGTCACAGCGGGGCTTTCCTGGCGTTGATTCATGGTACAGCGCTAGGCTCAAGGGCACTAGGGTTACGGGTATGTGTGCTGCCAGCCCTAAGTAGTGTGCGTGAGACCAGAGGCCAGGGAGATGCTGCTGAGGGCTCCCGAGCTTTCGCCTCTGCCCGGCTCACCTGGTGGCTTGGCTGTCTTCCACCCCCTGAACTGTGGCCCCTCTGCCTCCCACCGTGGAGCCAGCCGATTATGGACTAAAGCCTCTCCAAATTGTGAGCTAAATAAACCTTTCCCTTTCAACTCTGGGTATTGGGTGTTTTGTCTCAGCAACGAGAGAAAAAAGAACCTAAGACAGTGAAACTTCTGCTGAGGCTGCAGACGTCTGGAGAACAGGGCTGTTCCGAGGGTGCCGACACTGTCTGCTGAGGCCGGGGTGGCTCAGTGGTGGGGCGCTCACCTCGCCTGCTGCAGGCGCTGTGTTTAATTGCCAGGACAAAAAAAAAAAATTATATATTAAAAACATTTTTTTCCTTGTTTTTTCTGGTACTAGGACTTGAACTCAGGACCTTGCTGCTTTCCAGGCAGACATGGCACCACTGAGCTACAACCCTAGCTAAAAATATTTTTAAAGAATTAAGAAATGTCATCTATATGTACCAACATTTAAGATTTTGTTTTTGTTTTTGTGGTATTGGGGATCAAACTCTGGCCCTTGCGCTTGCAAGGCAGGCTGCGGAACCACTGAGCCAAAGCCCTGGCTCCCCCTTTTTTTTTTTTGACCTGGAACTCACTAGCCCAGACTGGTCTCGAACTCACAGCCATCCTCCTGCCTTAGCCTCCCGAGTGCTGGGATTACAGGTGTGCGCCACCACGCCTGGCTTTTATCCTGTACCAACTTTTGATGGTTAATGTAGTCATGTGCTACAAAGAAATTTTGTTTATCCTGGCTTGGTGGTACATATCTGTAATTCGAGTTACTCTGAAGGCTGAGGCAAGAAGACTAAATTCAGGGCCATTTTAGGAAATTGAATAGAAATCCAAGTAACAGCATTATGTAGCATGCACAAGGCCCTGGGTTCATCCCCCGGCACAACCAATAAAACGAAATTTAAAAACTGAAATGAAAAAAATTGTGGTGTATATGTATAATCCCAACGGTAGCGAGGCTGAGGCAGGAGGGTTACAGGGGATTCAAGGCCAGAGCTACACAGACCCTGTCTTAAAAAAGAAAAGAGGCCGGGTGCGGTGGTGCATGCCTGTAATCCCAGCACTTGGAAGGCTGAGGCAGGAGGATCGCTGTGAGTTCGAGACCAGCCTGGGCTACATAGTGAGTTCTAGGTCAGTCTCAACTACATAGTGAGACCCTGTCTCAAAAAACAAAAAAAGAGCTCAGGGTTCATACTAAACACTCCTACATGTCACATTTCCTCCATTATTTGATAGTTTTGACTCCCAGGAATTGTCCAGGCTGTTTCAGCTCTGGTCCTGCTTCTGTCTGACAGTGCTGTGTGATATAGGCGGGGCTGTCTCTCACTTTTATTAGTGTGTGCAGTGTGTGTCATTCCTCCCGTGGATCGGTGCACGCACAGCACACCTTCGTTCCTTTTCCATCTGCCACCCCATCTCTCGGTTCCCTTCCCACTGCACAGAGCTCTGTCTCCCTCCTTCCGCTGTCTGCCTTTTATTTTTAGATGCACTTGTCCTAAGTGCAGCTGACAGTATTTGCAAACATCCCAGCAAGGACTTCCCAGGTTTGCCTGAGGTGACAGTGCCGTGGCTCCAAAATGCAGTTCAGAGGCAGGAGCGTCACTAACTGGAGGCCAGCCTGGGCAAGACATTCAGTAAGGTCCCCACTTGAAAATAATGTTCTTGGGCGGGGATTTAGCTCAATGGTTCTGCCTCTGGCCTTGTAAGTGCAAGGTCCCAACTGTGATCCTGGGCACCAAAAAAAAAAAAAAAATGTTCTTTCAGTACTAAGAATTCTTGCTGAGCTATATCACCACCCTCCCTTTAATTTTGTGATAGGGTTTTGTAAGTTGCTCAGTTGCCCAGACAGAGCTCAAACTTGTGATCCTCCTGCCTCAGACTCCTAGAGTGCTGGGACTGTAAGTTTGTAGTACTACACTCAGCTAAAGTTTTGGGACACATTTTCTGAAAGTCATGCTATATGGTCCAGGCTGGGCTTGAATTCACTATGTAGCCCAGGCTGGCCACAAACTCATAGCGATTCTCCTGCCTCAGCCTCCCCAATGCTGGGATCACAGGTATGCACTGCCATACTGCCTAAAAAAATTTTTAAAGGAAGGGTGCTTGTATACCATGCATAAGGCTATAAGTTCAGTCCCTACTACTCCCACACACACGTATTTTAGAGCTTGTTCTACATATACTTAAGACTTTCCAAGAAAACCTAAGCTAGTTTTGCATAATGCAATTTGTAATGTCAAGAGTGATTTTCTAGCACAAATCACTTCAGTTAGAACTATTTCACATTAAGAATATAAGCAGCCTGGCCGGGCGTGGTGGTGCATGCCTGTAATCCCAGCACTGAGGAGTCTGAGGCAGGTGGATTGCTGTGAGTTTGAGACCAACTTGGGCTGCATAGTGAGTTCCAGTTTAGTCTCAACTATATAGTGAGACCCTGTCTCAAAAAACAAACAAACAAACAAAAAATAACAGCTGCTCATAAATGGCTAGGTGTGTGTTAGAAGATTGATATATTTTATGCTTTCTAAATTCTCATAGCAATTATTATTAGTTCATTTCTACTGATATAAAATAGAAGTACAGAAAAGGTAAGTTCATTCAGCTGAAATTACAATGTTAATGAGCATTTGAGCTGGGACTTGAACACTGTTGCTTCTGGGAGTGAAAGCCCATATATACTCCACATTGTGCTCCGTTGTTCTGCTGCCTGCCTTGCAAGTGCAAGGTCCCGAGTTCAATCCCTGGCACACAAAAAAAAAAAAGGATGTGAACTTTCCTATAAAATGGAGCACTACTCAGCCATAAAGAACAAGAAACTGGAGACATATAAAGCTAAGTGGATCCACGTTGAGGCCATACTCTTTTCTCTTTTTTTGGTACGGGGGATCGAACTCAGATCCCTGTGCTTACAAGGCAGGCGTTTGAACCACTGAGCTAAATCCCCAGCCTGAGGCCATATTCGTAAGTGAAATAAATAGGACACATGACCAAATACGGAATAGTTTCTCTGGGTTTTACAAAACTAAAAGTGTAAATAAGGATCCTTGATATTGTGGAATAGGAAGAAAAGAGCTAAAGGAGTCGGGGAGGTGGGAGGAGGGGTAAGGAAGAGGAAAGAAGGGAAAAGAAGAAATATGGGAAGGCCGGGGATGTAGCTCAGCGGTTCTGCTTCCTGCCTCGCAAGCAGAAGGACCCTAGCTTGTTCCCCGGACCAAAAAGAAAGAAAAAATACAAGAAGAGAAAAAAAGGGAAACCAAGTGTTTGTAAATAGGGAAGGGTGGAGTGGGTGAAGGGAGGGCAGGGGTATGGAGAGAAAATAAGAACCCAAATCCATCATGTAAAGGTACAAGATCCCAATGATGAATGTGACTGTGCTGTACACCTAAAAAGTACCAGTAGCCAGGGATTTAGCTCAGTGGTTCTGCACCCTGCTTTGCAAGCGCAAGGGCCTGAGTTTGATCCCCGATACCACAAAAACAAAAAACGTTAAAAAAAAAAAGTACCAGTAAACTTGATGGAAAAAATATAAGTAGCAGAAAAAAGATATAATATTGCAAATAATTATTCTTATTTATAAAACTTCCTGGGCTGGGGACTTAGCTCAGTGGTGCCACCACCTGCTTCACAAGCGGAAGGTCCCTCGAGTTCAATCCCTGGCACCACAAAAAAACAAAAAATGCTGCTTTAGCTCAGCAGCACAGCTCCTGCCTCACAAGCATAAGTTCCGGAGTTCAATCCCTGGTACCAAAAAAAAAAAAAGGCTGAAGC